TTAGGGGTTACGGGTTAGGGGTTTAGAGTTTACGGGTTTAGGACTTTAGGGTTTAGGGTTCAGGGTGTACGGTTTTAAGGCTCTGTGGTGTGCGGGCTGTCTCGTTGTTCTTATTGCTTCACTATGTTGCATTGTTTCGTTCCTCTCATTACAACGCTATAAAAATGGATAGGGTCTCAACTACTACACATGCGCTCATACGACCGCGACAGTTGTTTGCTTGTGATTACCACTAGCCAGAAATCAATCTAGTATCGAAACCATGATACCAGTCTTAGTTACATTTGAAAGAGAACCAGTAGTCGTCGTCGTGCGGGTCATCGTAGCGTCATGATGCTAGTAAGAGAAGATAAGCGACGGAAGCGACGCAAAACGTCGGCGTGTGCCAAGGGCTGCGAGCTTGAAGCCCTAAACCCCTAAACTTGAACCTTCCTATCACATCCAAAAGGCCTGAACCAAAACCCTGAGTCCTTGACCCTTCAACTCTAAGCCGCTTTGGGGTGCAGGCCGCACAGAACAAGGTTTGGGGAATAGGGACTTGGAGGTGGTGGGGTCTGCGACATCGAGGGAGGTGCTTAGGATCAAAGGGTTTTAGGCTCCGAGGGCTGGCGGTTGATAGGTTTCGTAGCCTGCGGCATTTCTTCCGGGTCTGTAAAGTCTTATGGTGTCTGCCGTGAAAATCTCAACCCGAAGCGGCAAACCTAGCCTCAACCCAATAAGGCTCTGTGAAGCCCATGTGGGTGGTTGTCAAAATTAGGGTCCCTTTTTGGGTCCTTATTATAATACGGCACCTATTATTTAGGGTACCCCAAAAGGGACCATAATTTTGACAACTACCCATGTGGAACATCCATCTGAGTTCGGCAGGGTCGCTGCAGGCGCTCCGCTACTTTGGCCTGCTGGAGGCTGCGGAACCTTGGCGGCTGGTGCTTGTTTCCTCTCCTGTTCAACAACCAGGCCCAAAAAAGTTCAAACTTTTTAAGATAGACCTAATATCTAAAGCCAAGAAGTTTAACGTTCTCCCATTGGCTATCTAAGTTTCGGGTTCTTGACAGGGGTGAACTTACTATTGGAAGCCCACTACTTCCACTCATCCACAAAGGGCAACGTGACGAAAATGGGAGTTTCAGAAAATTGGGGGTACCTTATTTTGGGATCCTGATAATAGGGATCCTGCTATTTAGGGTACTATATTAGGGTCTCCCTATTTTCGGAACCCCCTAAATAGGTTTCCTCGACAAGAACCTACCTCCACTCAGCTGGCACGACACCTGGCAAACGAGCCCTTGGCTTCTTGCTTCCCTTTCCTTTATTTTTGAGGGTAGCTTTCATGCTCGGTTTCACTTCATAGAATAATTGTAACGCCCCTAATCAAACAAAGGGAAGGGGAGCAAGACACCAGGATTTAAACCAAGATGTATTGACCATTGAGTGCCACCGGTCACTGATTACTTTCCTTCTGTAGCTCCGGTATCTCTTCATTGACGGGGAACCGTGGTGTGTTGCACAAATATATTGAATAAAGCAAAAACGAACGAACCTAGACGGTGCTTTTCCGGTACTAAATCCGCACAACACGGAAAGATGGGAACACATAAGATGAAGAGATCATTTTGCTTGCTTAGGTTTGCCTTCTCCAATCAAACCACGAAAAGAATCAATTTTAAAAGCGCTAGACCCCTCTATGAACAAAGGGCTCGACATCACATTGCTGTGCCCGATTGTCGGGTGCCGTACTAGTGTTGGGACAGGGTTTGGTTTCAAGCCTGTCGTTTCGGGGTCAGCTCCGTCTCATGCGTATATCATAGACGGACTGACAGTGTAAGGCTCGTGTAGACTCGTGATTAGTAACAACCCCACCGTGTATGTTAAGGATTATCACCGGGATCCTGGTATAAAGGCCCATTAAGCAGTGTACCAAGCAGGGGCCTACACTTCGGCTTGAGTCATTGAGCAGGCGCCCATCCCAAACCCTCAACCTGAGGCCCCTTCAGCCCAAGCCTTATTCCCAAACCCTAGACTTTAATATAGGGGTCATCATAATTAGAAGAAGGTTTAGGGGTACATTATATTACAATTATTATAAGGAACCCCCAAAACCCTACTCTAATTATTGAGGCGCCTGCATCAGACCCCTGATACTGAAGCCTAGACTGCAAACTCTGCTTTGAAAAAATCCTCAGGCCAAGCCAGTCGTGTGTTTGTCGCTTGAACCGCGGCTTGTTGGGCATTGGGATCCCACTAGCTAGCCCTTGTCACAGCAATTTTGTGTGACAGGGTTTGGGATGTAGGGCGAAGGGGCACCTGACTGAAAGGGATCTAGAGCAGCCACATGCAACCACGGTCCAAGAGCTCATGAAAAGTATCCGAAACCTTGACATCCTGCAGACTTCTAGTGACTAGTGCTAAACCCTAAACCCTAACCTTAAACCCTAAACCCAGCCTTAGTTTTTAGTCTTAGGGGGTTTCCCAAGAATCGGATCGCCTTCGGCTTGCTCGACCAAGCCACTCTTCGGCCTCCTCTAATTCGAAGGCCACCTCTCGACATGTGGAGAGCAGTCATATGGGGGTTTCCGAAAATAGGGGACCCTAATATAGTACCCTAAATAATAGGATCCTTGTTATAAGGACCCCAAACTAAGCTACCCCCTATTTTTGGAAAGTCTCATATAGGGGCCTTAGTAATTAGAATAGGGTTTTGGGGTCATTTGTAGTATAAGTAGAAGAAGGAGCCCCCAAAATATTATGGGTAATTAATTATTTAGGCCCCTGCATTCAGGAGAGTCCAGTATTCCTTCATCAGTGGATACTCTTGACTTTCATAGGGGATTCTCAATATTGTCTGAGGAATGTTCCTAAGCTAATAATTACTTGGGGCTGTTGCTCTTCGTAGGACGTTCGGCTTTCTGGGCGGCCGAGAAATGCCACTGTGCAGGTCCCGGTCAGATCGGGCATACCTGCTGACTCTTTGCTGGGTCCTTGTGCTAGCAAGCGATTTCCTGACGCAATGCAGCTCTAATTTCAGGATGATGGAATGCACGAGCCGCATCATGAACCATTTGAAGGACTCTTGTCGTCCGTTGAACGGAAGCAAATCGCAACCAGCTGGAGGAAAAGGTTCGTGACTGCGAGAAGTATCTGCAGAACATCCCAGAGCCTTGCCCGGTCTCGAGGGAGCAGCTGGAGGGCAACAGTGCGCATCACCATGGTGTGCAACGATTCGGCTTCACCTTATAGATTTGGGGGTTTCCGAAAATACGGGGTACATTATTTTGGGGTCCTTATAATAAGGATCCTGCTATTTGGGGTACTGTATTAGGGTCCCCTATTTTCGGAAACCCCTATTTTCGGAAACCCCCATTTATGCCTTGCTGAATATTCTGGCCCCTTGCGTCAGTGAGAGAAGCAGACACTAAAGCATCATCCTCGGAAGCGGGCGGACACTTCTTGAGACGAGTACAGGCTTCATCATAAGGGTTTAGGGTTTACCTGTAACCGAAAAGACCTACCTTTTTAAGGAACGCTATATAGAAACCATAACAAGGAACCCTAAAAAGGTAGGTCTTTTCGGTTGCAGGTAGGGTCTAGGGTTCAGGGGGTTCAAGGTGTATTGAGCTACCTGATGAGAAGGACTGCCGCAAACCGTCCAGTCCACAATGATACCCTAAATTGCTCCAGGGCCAACCCCCAAATCCCAAACCTTAGACGGCAGAGCCGGCCAATCCCTGTCAATCCATAAGACCGAAGCTATACTGTTAACTCAACTTAAAGGGGCCTAAATAATTGGAATAGGGTTTTGGGGTATAATATAACTATACTTATATGAAGGAACCCCTAAGATACCCTATTGAAACTATCAAAACCCTAAACCCTAAACCCCAAGATACCCTATTGAAACTATCAAAACCCTAAACCCTAAACCCCTAAGATAC